GATTGGCGGGACTACCACCCATAAGTAGAGGACCTCACTCCACGATCAGGTACGATGATTTCTGACTTGGAACTGAACTTGGAATCCGACCTATACTGACTTGATCGTTGGAGTGCTCACCTTTTTGTGCAGGTCCGCCCAAAGGTTCAGGTCGGTACGGAGGCCGAGTTCGAGCTACAATCAGAAACACACTGTTGTGCACATCTTTGCATAAACACAGTGGGTATATATTTACCTTAGGTGGTGCAACTGTATCATGAAAATCTTTAAAACAGACGTGTATAACACGATCTACAATAGAATCAAAGTTTATAGCTCTTGATAAAACTGGAGAAGAAGTAGAATGCCTTCGAAATTTTCTTGAAGATATTCCATTATGGCCAAAGCATGTAAGTGCCATATGTATTTATTGTGACAGCTTAGCAGCCTCAATGAGAGCTAAGAATAATGTTTACAATGGGAAGTCAAGACATATAAGACGCGGACATAATTCAATCAGACAATTACTCTCTAATGGAATAATTTCCAATGATTATGTAAAATCAAAAGAGAATGTTGTAGATCCTTTGACAAAAGGATTGTCAAGAGAGCAAGTTGCATATACATTGAGGGAAATGGGATAAAGCCTAGGAAATGAAGTATCTAGTGGTAACCTAACTTAGTTGACTGAAGATCCCAAGATCTAGGTTTAATAAGGAAACTGGCTAGATAATTCATAGTTGAAACACTAAGAAACTTATAGTTTCTTCCCATTTTATGATGTTACGTTATAAAATGTGTGATCTGTTGATGTTAAGGTCATATTGATATCTTGAGTACAAGAGGGGTAATGACAGAATACTCTTAATCATTATCACCTATGTGAGAGTAGAATTGGGTCGGTTCTGTGAGAACTTTTCAAATGACTTATGTTCTCTAAAAGCTCTCATGAATTCAGGATCTTGTTCAGGACCAAAATGGACACAACCGTATAGAACTCAAAAATACAAGATAAGTTATGTGTGATATTTGTTGTCCCAATTTATCACGAGAATGATAGTTCCAGAGCTAGTTCTCACTATTTCTTCGATAAATTCTATAGATATTCACTTTTTGGAAGGTTTAAGTCCAAAAGACACCTCTCCTGATGCATAACTTATCTGTTTGCTCTCAATGTCATCGTCGTATTTTGTCCATCTCACCTTCTTTCATGCGAGGGATTGCTGGATTTTTAATATGTGAAATAAAGTGAGAAAACCGTTGAGTATACAAATTTAACATTCGGAAATTAAATTTGTGTATTAAGAATTTGAAACTTATTTTATATTTGTAACAAATTCATTATTTATTTCATAAGTTGTTTTTTGTTTCAATTTTATGTTATGTAACTTTATTTTGTTAAAGTTCCATGTTGTTAAGTTGAAGTTATACTTCAAAGGAGGAGTTTTTTCTTCATGTTGTTAAAGTTCAACTTAATTCATGTGTGAGGAGTTTCGTGTTTACACAACTATATATAGTTGTGAATTTCTTCATTTTGAAATATCCAAACATACCACAATTGAGTATTCTCCTCTCTCACAAGAATTATCTCTTCTTTTGAGTTGGTCTTCTAGTTTATGTTGAGAGCAACTATCTAAGAGTTCTGCCAGATCCGAGTAGTTTGATGTTGCAATTCTATCAGAGTTAGTCGTTGTATCATGCTGAGACAATCGCTGTAGTATGCTAGCAAGTTATGCATAGCGAATAATTGTCTTTAGGTAAGCGCTATTGAAGCGTGTCTCCACTAGTTTTATCAAGTTTTGATGTTTATCAAGTTGTTCAAATTTATATCGTTTGTAGCCAGTTACGTTGTAATCTGTTTGTCAATATTACACAGTTCATATATACGTCGTATATTTACCTAACAAGAAGAAAGAAAAATTGTATTCATTCATGTCTTCATGTCTCTTTTTTAAGGTAGAGATAAATCAAGGCAGTCGCCTAAGTCTCTCAATTTTTTTAAAAATATTAAAAAGTTAATATTTGTTATAAAATGCCTCTTAAAAAACGTCTAAATACTTTCAAAGTCAATTATTAATTAATCTTTAAATTTTAAAAAACTTTCAAATTCTCTTTCATTTATTGTTATTATTCTTTTTTTTTAATCATTTTAGTAAATTACTAGTTGAGAACAAATTTTATGGTATCATTCCATTCGAATTAATATTGACTTAATTTTTTAATATTGGTCAGAATTTCTGTATCATTTATTCTCTCGAAAAGTTGAATTTGTCTTATAATATATTAAGTTTGTTTTATTAAAAAAGAAAAGGGGCTTAGATTCCATAATATCTTAATTGCACCTACTAATGATCATAATTTAAGGTTTTTTTAGTATGAATTTGAAATAAAAAAAAAGAAATACTTCAACGTGATTCTTACCAATTCTCTTCCCCACTCGAGTTTGCTCAATCTCTTTAATTTTGGTAAAATTTAAAACGTAATTTGAAAATTCAAATTATCAATCACACTTTATAAAGAAAAGATATTGGGATTCCCAATATTTTGCTTTATTATTCATACTCTCGATTGTGAGCAACAATTTTCTTTGGTGTTATTTTCATTTTAGTAAACTTCCTAAGAGTGAGCAACTCTTTTCTTTCATTTTTTTCTTCCATTTTTACTTTCATTCTTGCTTTCTTTATCCTTCTCTTTCTCATCGGTAAACAATCATACTTTCGTTTGCCTTTGTATGGGTCGAAGACGAGCTGAAGTGGCGTATGCTCATTTGTTAACAGAACTCATTAAAATGAGTCCTGTCATACTGATTTCCCTTGTTCATAAGGGTAAAAAGAAGCTAAATGGATGATGTTTTCTAACGTTTTAAACTCTGAAACCATGTTTTAAGCTTGGTTTAGTGTCCAAAACCTTTCTTTTGAAGTTATCTTAGGTTATACATGCCCATAGGACGTTTTTACATCATTTAGAGTTGATTTCTAATGGAAATTACAATTTTGTGCAGAAAAATTTCAAGCTAGGCATCTGACGCCTTCCCCAATCCCGAGATTGCCCTTAATGTAAAACACACGTTTTGGTGTGATTTGAAGCCTCCCGAAGCTCTACCACGTGTCTTCCATGCATTGAAGATTGCCAATTCAACAACAAATCAATTTAAATGTGTTTGAAATGGATGGCTCTCCACAAAGCTCTCAACCTCCTAACCACCTTGAAGTCCCTATAAATTCAACAGCTCATTCTCTTCATTCATCATCCCGGAGTGATCATTTCAGCTTTAGACATTCCCTCCCAGCTTATTTACATTTTCTCTTTAAGTTTTTGAATTGTTATTGTTTTAAACCTTACTTATTTCTAGTTCACCATTTATTTCCAACTTGTTAGTCTTGAATTGTAAGCTTTAATCTTGTTTAATTAAAATTCGAGCAAATTCTTTGTTACTCTTCTCTCTCTTTCTCATTACGAAGTTGTAATCACTCAACTTTGAGGAATCGACCGAGTATTGCTCCCCAATCTTGAAAGAGAACGGGTTAGGGTCATTCGGGTTACAACTCCACCATTTTCAGCTCTTTTTAATCTTTTAATGATGTCATCTACTTCCATCAATATTAAATTCTATTTTTCCTTTACTATCATGAGCTAAATTTATTTTACCCAAGTCCGATTATGGATAGTTAGCTAAAGTTTTAAAAATCCAACAAGGCAAAATGCGTTTTTCTTCTCTTTTATCACTTAAAGTTGTTTCCATAAGTTAAAACTTGATTTGGTCAATTAATGTTTTAACCAAGCATCATTACTGAAAGGGTTGATACGTTTTCACAACTTTACTGATTTAACTTTAGAGAGAAATACTTTAGACATAGAGATTTCGTTCGGGTAGCCTAGACATAGGACCTCGACCTAAGGTTACGGTTGGTTTTTATTAAATTAAGTTCTTTTTTATAATAGACATATTATGAATGAACTTATACCTTCAAACTCACTTAGACATAAGAAGATGGCGAAGTAAAACCGAAGAAAATTTATGAGAGGAACCTGGCGCCTAGTTGGAAAAAGTTTGCGTATTTTTAGCTAATTTGAAGTAACTGGACTGGGTTTATTGCATTGAGTTTTTAAATATCAAAACCAACATTATCCTTATTATTTGTTACCCCAAAATCAATTACAAAGTCACCGATCATTAAAATTTCCTATAAAAAGACTTCATTTGTCTCTTAGGATCGATACTCGGAATACTCATTCCGTTTTACTACTTGTGACAAGTGTACACTTGTGCTCTCATTTATTTTGAATCCAAAATCCTAAACAAGTTTTTGGCGCCGTTGCCGGGGACCAATTTGTTATAGTTTTTTATTACTTTTTGTGATAGGTTTTTGTGATTGTCGTTTCTGTTCTCAATTTTTTTTTATATCCAACCTTGAAAGGTCATTGATTAGTGCATGAGCACAGATTTATTTCTGTTGCCATTTGATCCTAAAACTAAGAGAACATGTCGTAGGTTGAGAAAAGAACAGAGACTCAAAAAACAGAGAGAAAAGCAAAAAAAGAAAGAAAAAGAAAGAGATTTCGAAAGCGAGAGTGAAACTACCATCACCGTTATGGACGAGATTCCACCACAAAATCCTACAGATTCACCAGTTGTTAACGACAATATGGCAGGGCAAGGAAGATGACATCAAAACTATAGGGATTTTAATCATATCCAAATGGCGGATAATAAAGATGTAGCCATGCGAGAGTATGCAACTACAGCATTCCAGAACTTGGATTCAGTCATTTTGAACCCTATTCCAGAAACTACCAACTTCGAGCTTAAGCCGCTCATGTTTCAAATGCTTCAGACATTGGGACAATTCGGAGGACGCGAACATGAAGATCCTCATGACCATCTCAAGACATTTCTTCAAATTGCAAATGCTTTTAGATTGCCTGATATTTCTGATGATGCTTTGAGATTATCTCTTTTCCCATTTTCCCTCAAGGGTCAGGCGGGAACGTGACTTAATTATTTTCCACCAGGTTCAATCACCACCTGGGATTCGCTATTGGAGAATTTCCTTACAAAGTATTTTCCTCCCACTCGCCATGCCGACATAAGGGAAGAAATTGTCACTTTTAGACAATACAATCGTGAACCAGTGCACGAGGCATGAGAGCACTTCTTCCGAGGTTTGGACCATCCCACTAAGATGATGCTCAACAATGCTACGAATGGAGCCTTCACGAAGAAGACCTTCAACAAAATAGTTGATATTTTGGAGAACCTAACATCCCACAATGAGCTATAGTGTTCTCAAAGGTCGAAACCTGCACCTAAGAAGCAAGACACAGCAGGAGTGTTGACATTGGACATCGCAAAGAGATGGTGACAATGAATCAAATGCTCAAGGAGATGGCCTTGGACAGGAAGAATACACCGGCCACACCGATGCAACATGCGCAACCTGTGCAGCCTGAATATACTGCCTCTTCTCCTGTTTACCAAATTAATGAAATTGTTTGTTCTTATTATAGTGATAACCATGTTTATGAGAATTGTCCGCATAATCCAGCTTCTATTTATTATATAGGTCATGAGAACAACCAGAACTTTAACCCCTATTCAAACACGTATAATCCGAGGTGGAGACATCATCCCAAATTTTCATTG